ACAAGGAGAAGACAACCGAAGTTCACATGTCGATTTCACGTATTCTACAGATATCCCTTCAAATATCGCCAATAGGATGGGTGTTCAAACTACAATTCGTGATAGACAAATGCATGAACAACTGAAAGCTGATCTGGTTGAACATGTATGGCGTAAATTTGGCCCTGATGGAGACGATGATGGAGACGACACTTGAGATCGAATGTTTTTTTTAAAATTAATTTCGATTATTTTACTAATGTGTGTTTTTATGTTTTTATGTTTTTATTTTAAATTCTATGTTTTAAATGTAATCTTTTAATATGTCTTATATAATAAATAAAATTTATGTTAAAAAAACAATGTTTAATTTTTTCTTTTTTTAAGAACCCCAAAATAAGCAACTTGCATTGGAGGCAAATAAACGCTCGGATGCTTAACGTTGGTGTTTAACAACTAAAAAATATTAAACAAACAATAAGCACCCCAAATTAAGCACTTGGGTTGATGATGCTCTTAGTGTCTAACGAAACTTCACCGAGGGTACTGTTATTTAAGGCAGCTATGTTTAGTGATATCTTAAATTGTTGTAGTTATCTTTGGAAATTTGACTGAAAGAGAGACTTTAAGCTTTTTAGTTTTGAAAACCAGAAAATAACATCATTGTATGGAGTTTTTTCCAATGTTTCTATAATATTTAAAAAATCAAAAGATCATGTAGATATATATATATATATATATATATATAGAAAAATGGATAATCCAAAAATGAGAGTCGATGGTTAAAATTATATAACAAATTATAGAAGATGAAAATCGTATGTTTATTTGGGTCTTGAGATATAGTTCCGTTTATTATAAACAAAATGGTGACGGTACAACAAATATTATTATTTAGGCAGTGTTTTTATCAATTCAAGGAGTGAATTTGGGATTGTCTACTGACCATTTATATACCTGAAATTTAATATGGTCTGATGGACACCGATTGCTCTTTGCTTTCGTGACGTGTGACCTAATTGTCTTTTATTGGTTTAATTATATGTCTATTGGTTGATATAATTAGACCTTTAATAGAGGCTTCAGTGAAAAAACTTAGTATACTCCGATTCTTATTTAATGAAGCAACTTACCTAATTGACAATTTTATTCACGGAGCACTTCTTTTTCCAACTCACTACCCATCACCTAAAGCACTTCTATTAGTGTTTTCTCAATAAATATCTTTAAAAGTATCTTATATTATAACTGAACAAATGAAAATAATTAAAGAAAAGAAAAATTGTGATGAAATTCTCATTTAATTGAACTAAAATTTAAATATTTTACTACGACCAAAAAGATAAATTCAATTTAGTGAAACATGTAATCAAATCAATTTTTTTAAAAACAAATCAACCAATGAATTTTATCCCAATTCAAACAATGAATCGGATTACTCTTTAGATCACTAGATTAATCGTAGTTGAATCACAGATTAGTATATTAATAAATTGTAATATATAGGTATATATGAATGTAATATTATTAACCATTGAAAATAGATAATGGTTTCAAGTTTTGTTTACAGGATATAATTAAATATAAAAAATTGTTTCAATTTTTCATCCACCATAAACTTTAATTATCTTATTAACTTTTAATTTTCAATAAGAACTTTGGCTAAAAATAAATCTTAAACAACTGAATAGAAATATTATAAATAAGTAATAAATAATTGAATAGAAATATAGATACAAAATTATAATAGTTTTTCAATATAAATAAATAAAATTGTAGTTAAACGTGTCATATCAATAAATTTTGTTTTTCTTTATTGGATTAACTGGTATCAGTTACGTGTTGATCCAAATTTTTAAATATATACCAAGTTTTATCAGTTTTTTAATTAATGTGTTTTCATCGAATCTGGACTGGATTATTTACGGATCACTAGGTCAATCTGTTCGAGTGTAAGTTTAGGTCGAGTATGAAAAACTGAATTTAACATATTACCATATATATACCACCAATCTTTGTTGTGTTCCAAAATCGTTATCATATTGGTGTGAATTCACACATAACTTCACATTTGTATGAGTTCAACTCTGATATCTCATGGTTAATAGTTTGAGTGAATCTGCTCAATATACTAAAAGAATAAACTAATTAGGGATGTGTTATATTTTCGCGGAGAAAAGTAGTAATGGAGGAAAAAAGAGAGAAGAGAAAAATAGGATATATAGCTAAACAGTGGATTTTGTCTGTGTATGGAGTGCAAATATTCTAATAGTTTTTCACGCTCTCTCACTCGACCATGTCTCATCATGTAAAACAGTCGTCAGTTAGTTTTTTTGGAGACTCAAATTTTTTTTATTGACCATACAAATATTACGTGACATTTCTCTAGACTTTGGTTCACACGCATGAATTACTATTTAATAGATCATCCGTCCTAGTATTTCAGATCAAATAAGCTTAATTATATATAAAAAATATGTGACCGAAAAGATAAATATACTGTAGTGATATATATATATATATATATATATATATAACTAAATCAATAAAGAAAGAGGGTTAAGGAATAGAATTTCGTTATGTGTTTTCGAGGCTGGAAAGATTACGAGATTAACATTATGCTAATAAAAAAAAACCTTCGTAAAAAAGACAAAAAAAAAAAAGAAAAAAGAATGGCATTTCGTTACTTTATCTACTTATTTTTAATTAGGTAGACGTTTCTTCTTGAAAAGAATAACTTCTGCGGATTTTAATTTTACACTTTATAAAGTAATATATAATAAGTTAATAACTATGTGTGCGTGTGTGTGTATCATATAAGCTACTTGTGCTTCTGCGTCAGTGCATCACCCTTGCTCTATTATTCTTCTTACCCATTTTCTCTAATTCCAAAATAATTATCCTCCCTCTGTTCTTCAGCCATCGTTTGAAAAAGCAAGCAACCCCTCTGAAAATTTCCAAAGGCTTAATTAGCACCTAAAGTCAAGAGAGATCCATCGGTACTTACAATCTCTTCAACGAGTACGTCTCTGAATTATCACTCTTGATATTTATGTTTTTTGTGTTTCTATGTGTATATATTAATCAATAGATCTGCACCGTTTTGAAGAAAAAAAAAAGAAAGAAAGTTCTGCACCGTTTCTTGAGTACGCACCGTCGCCCGGAGATGATTCCTTCCGATTATACGTCAGTTTCATGTTATTTGATTAGTTTCCAATTTGTCATCACTTCTTTGTTTAATTAACCACTACGTTTCTTTAAATATTTAGTTCCTTTTCTTATAATGGTATAATAACGTGAAAAAACGAAAGTGATTAGGTCAAGTCTTCATAACTCCAACTTGTTACTTTTAAAAATATTACTATTATTATTATCTTCTTTTTCTTTCGAAATTTGGTATTTTAGGTGAAATCTCATTTAATGAACAATGACTAGTCAGGTGAATGGGTTTGCCTTGTACGTTTCAGTAATATGGAGATACATAACGAAGAAGACAACCTCTCAGCATTGGGTAACTCTGGCGGAGACTTCGACTGTAACATATGTTTGGATCAGGTTCGTGACCCGGTCGTGACTTTGTGTGGCCACTTATTTTGTTGGCCCTGCATTTACAAGTGGACGTATTCTACCAACAATTTAAGACAACGTGTCGACCAGTACGATAATAAGAAGGAATCCCCAAAATGTCCGGTCTGCAAATCCGAGGTCTCTGACGGTACGCTTGTCCCTATCTACGGGCGGGGACAGAAAACACCCCGGTCTGGTTCGAACGTACCGAGTAGACCATCCGGTCCGGTTAATGACTTGAGAAGAGTTGGTCAACATGTAAGAGAAGGTGAGAGTCAGCAATACATGTATAGGATGCCTGATCCGGTGATGGGTGTGGTATGCGAAATGGTATACCGGAGACTATTTGGAGAGTCTTCGAGCAACGTGACACCGTACAGGGGCGACCAGTACACAAGTCTCCGGTTAAGACGGCGGACAATGCAGGCAGATGAGTTCCTAAGCAGAGTCTACTTGTTCCTGCTTTGCTTCATGGTTATGTGTCTACTTCTTTTCTAATTATAAGAGCATCAGTATTCACAAAGTTTATAAGAAGGATATCTCATAATACAATATATTATAATCAAAACTAAATTATAAATTAAAAGAATTTTTTTTTTTGATCAAAAATTAAAAGAATTTAAGCTAATAAAAATATTCGAAGATTTAAGGTAGCCTTTCAAAAAAATTTATTGAAGTAACTTGGATTAGAGATTGTCTATCTTTCTCTTTCCTTCTTTTGTTTTATATCCTTTTTCATTTGTTTTATTATTTTAGTAAGAAGAACTTAGTTGAGATACCAAATGATGTGGTTTCAAAATAAAAGAAGAAGATCCTCTCTCTCGACCACATAAAAAAGAAATATAAAGCTTGAGTACACCACCGGCTCCTGGTGGCGCGTGGGAGCGCGTGCCGGAGCCGGTGGACCCCTTCTCCCCCTCTTTTGGTTGTTCTTTGCTTCACCTACCTCTCCTTTCCCTCTTCGTTTTGTTCGGAGCTCTGGTCCGGCGTAGATCTACAGTCTTGTTCTTCACTCGAGAAGTGACGAATCTGGAGGTGTTGCGACTTCCACTGGAGTTTACGACGCGGTGGTGTGGATCGGTTTGGTCGGAGGAGTCGGCTTTTCTGGGCAGTTGAGTAGATCGCGTTTCCCTCTTTTGATCTCTCTTCCGGTTCAAGGTTCTCGACAAGGTATGGTGGTGCGTCTCTCTCTCTCTTCGGTTGGCTGTGGTGTCTATGGGCGTCATGGTTCGTGGTTTGTGGAGACGTGGGTTGTTGGTGTTTTGGATTTGCGGACCATGGCGGGTCGTGATGGTTCTGTCCTTTCATCTTGGGTTTGTGGTGTTTTGGGGCTGTTTGGTTTGGTCCGTCACGGGTGATAAGCTTTGGCTTATATTAGTCTGAACCTTCTTCTGTTTGTGGTCCTAAATTGAATTTGTTAGGACTCTACTAACTTTATGCTCGGGAATTTTGATCGTTTAAGGGCCAAGGGAATTTGCGTTTTGATGGCTTTGACTTAGCAGTTTTTTATAAGGGTTTTGTGTCCTTTGGTTGCTTGCCGTTTGGTTCTTCTTCAGTGAGTGTTCATGGAGAGGTTTGTGGGCAAGGCTTTGTCTTCTTGTTGTTTGGTGAGCTTCTTTCTTAGTTCGTAGAGTGTTTATGTATCCAAGGCGCGTGGACCGAGCAGCGTTCCCCTTGTCGAGTTATGAAGTTTCCGGATCTTGGTCTTATCGTTTGGCGGGTGAGGCAGCAGCGATAAGTGTGGTGTGGGTGGAGAAGTGGAGGTTAGCGGGTGGCGGGCTATAGGCAGCAACGGTAACTCCCGATCATTGGCCTTTTCTCTTTTTAAGACTGCTAGGTATTTTTATGTGGCCCTTGCGTAAACTTAACCGTTCTTTTGGTGCTAGTGTCGTGTTAGTTCTTATGTTCTATGTTTCTTATGTCATCCCCGTGTGGGTTTAAGTCGCCCCTGCGTGGGTTCTAGTTGCCGCTTCTAATGGGCTCTTGGTTTTGGGGCTATATCGTTTTGCCGCCAACGTTTGTATGAATACTGATAATTTACTTATGAATGAATCTCAATTTGACGGAAAAAAAAAAAGAGATACCAAATGATGTGATGCTACAAGTCATCAACTCATACATGTATATGGAACAAAGGTATAAGTATGTATGTTTAAGAGTGTTGAATCTCCTGATTATATGATGAGAAGATATATAGTCAAAATCAAGAAACGGCGCTAGTTGGCTTTTGCATATTTTTATCTAATATGAAAATGTGATAATATGGGCAAGAGACTTATCTTCAACTCAATCACTATGTGCACCAAAGGATGATTGTGGGTGGCCTTAGAATACGACGCAAACGGTGATGCTTATAGATAAAAATTGGACCCTACATTTGATTGATAACGGTGAATAAGACAGAGTTGATAGAAGAATTTAAATTAATGTTTTGGTACGGTTCTTTCTTTATACATTATAAATGTTGTAAACAAAATTGGGGTGAGCTGTTTCATTAAGGAATGAGATTTTGGAATCATTTTTTTTAGCTTCAAAAGTTATAATTTAATTTGCCTATATCGATAATAGGTTTTTGAAGTTATCTATGTGTTGGATATTAAAGCATCATTATTGCATGTTTTTTATAAGCAATTATTTTTTAACTTTTTATTGTTTCTGAAAGTACTATTTTAAGAAACAGTTTCTTAACTTTTCACTTAAAACGAATTAATATATAATTAACCATAAATTAGAAACAAATTTCTTTGATTAGATGATTATCATATCAAAAATTTTGTATTAACTAATCATAAACTAAAATCAATCAATATATAATTAACCATCAATTAAAAATGAATTTTATTAATTTGATAATTATTTTTATCTAAAAATACTTTATATTATGCTATAAAATTTTTATTAACGTTCATGAATAATTATATTTTTAATATAGAATTAGTTATAAATTAAAAATATTTTTCATTGATTTGATAGTTATCAATGTATAAAAATAGTTTATATTGTCTTATTAAAAAAATATTTACATTTTTAAATTGTTTTAACTTATAAAGATATATCCTTATATGTTTGCTTAGTTCTCATATTCTCCATAATTTTAGGTAATTTTGTTTATTTGTTATATTTTTATAGTTTTGACTAATAATTAATTATTACACTTAATAAATAATTAATGTTATCATGTATTATCTATACTATTATTTGAGAAATAAATTTGTTTAGTATTATCTATACTATCATTTGAGAATTGTTTTCGTTTGTTGTCATATTTTTCATGATTTTGAGTAATTTTGTTTATTTGTTATGTTTTTTAGAATATGAAAAATAAACAAATTTACTTCTCAAATAATAGTATAGATTCCCATAAATAAAAACAAATTATTATATAATTAACCATAAAATAGAGCAGTTTTTTTTATTAAATGATTATCACTATCTAAAAATAGTTTATACTAATTAACCACAAACTAAAATCAAATTAATATACAATTGGCCATAAATTTAAAATGAATAACATTAATTTTATACTTATCATTATCTAAAAATAATATTCATTATGTTATAAAGTTTTTATTAATGTTAATGAATAAATATATAATTAACCATTTGACTATATATGTAAAGAATATATGTATTTTATGAATTTTCTAATCTTATTAGACAAAAAAAGAAACATATTTAACTATACATAGAAAAAAAAATATGTTAAATAAATCATACCAATGTTCAAATCTTACCAGGCAATAAACTTATCCTACTTGACTTAAATTTGTTAAAAAAATTAACATAAACATTATATTCTTTCTTTGACCTGGATAACTATTTATTGTGTTTGTGTTAGTATATATAATCCGGACATAAAAGACAGAAAAGATCAGGACATCATAAAAAAATGGCAACTAGCGTAAACTCTATAGTCACATTTGTTTTCACCATCCTTTTATTCGTCTCTGTAACTCATGCAATTCCTCCTCCTCTAGGTACAAATTTACAGTTAAAAGTGATTTTTAAAAAAATAACTAGATTCTAACCCGCGCAACCGCGCGGGTCTTTGTTTTCAGTTTTATATATATAAATATTTATTTTACTTTATTAGTGGTACACGTTTTAATCAATTATTTAAGATTAGAGTATAATTATTTCAAATAATATAATTTTACAGTTTACTTCTTGTAATTAAACAACTTTTAAAAATCATATGTATTTTTCGCTTCTTATTATATATTTATTTTATTGTATTTGCATTTAGTTATTAAACAAACATATATGCATAAAACAATATATTTGAAAATTATTTTGTATTTAATTTACATTAAATTGAGACCCATCCTTCAAATCTGGATTTTCTTTTAACAATATTTATTACGTTTATTTCTTTTAGATAATATATTACTGTATATACAAAAATCTAAGATCTGTAAATTTTTATACATGTATTATATAGTTTGCTAATGTTATTCCATCTTACCAACACATTATATTTTTGAACATAAACATTTTATACTTAAAGAAAATAAAAATATATAAATTTATCAGTTTAATATAATTTTACATATTTACCTCAATATAATAATTTTATATGATTTATTAAGATTAAATAATAGATAAAAATAGGATAAATTTTATTTTTATTTTATAAACGGTAAGTGGTTATAATAATACATAATAATAGTTCATTGCTAATTAAAAAATTAAAGAAAATATTTATATAAACCTATTGAAATTAAGATATTGTTAAACTATTTGTCAACAGATTTTTAGAATTTATATATATAAATATATATATATATATATTTATATCTAAACTAATGATGTAATTAGTCAAATATTTACATATAATTAAAAATAATATAGTGTCAAAATATTTTGAAACAGATTTGTCAGAATTTTTAAACTTAATATTAATATTTAAAAAGAAAAGATATCAAAAGATATTATTATTAAAATAGTTCAAATATTTTATATATTATTAGTTTTTATAAAAAAATTAAGGATTGTTCAAGTTAAAAAAAATCACACATGAAAGAATTTATGACTTCTATTTTAATAGATAAGACAATATTTCATTATAATTAGAATTTTAAATTTAACTATCTTTGGAAATAAAATTGAAAATACCAAAAAATTGTTAACTTTTTAAAGAAATAACCATTGTATGTTAAATAAAAATAAAGAGATAGAAATATTTTATAATTAAATTTTGTAAACTTTCAGTAATAATCCAAATAAAAAACACACACATGAAATAAGTTTAGAATAGTATAGATGTAGACGATTTCCAGCTATATCTACTAACTTGGTTCTTTATTATAATGTATGATATACGCAAGAGCAATTATAAAGTATCACAAAACACTTTGAGGTGATTATAAAATGATGGTGTGAACCGGTTAAGTCAGATTTTGTTTTGTTTATTAATGTATGATTTATGCAAGTAGCAATCGAGTAATGTATTAGAAATGATGATCAATACTGGTTAAGTCTGATGTATTATTCTGTTTATTAATTGTATAACCCGAATAGGTTGAAAAGTGAACCTAATCATGTATTAAAAATATATATATCAAGGTTGACGGTCAGAACCGGTTAAGTCCCATTTTTTGTTTGTTATTAGCCGTATAATATATATAATGTGATTCATTAATAATATCAAAATATTTTGGTTAACTGAACCGAACTTATAGCCGTAGTTATTGTTGTCGATATTATATGAGTTTAGTAAGTCACAAAATGTATTAAGAAATAAATGAAACATGATTCTTTAAAGATAGTCCATATTTTAAAAAAATCACACATAAAATGAAGTTGTGACTTCTCTTTTAATATATAAGATTTTGTCATGTATGTATTGGATTAGTGATATCTTATACTACTAATAAACAGGTTATACAATAGGAGGCGGAAATTGTTTTGGAGGATCTAGTCCATGTCAAGATGATTTTAATGTTGGTTGCTCTAGCTTTTGTAGAAAGCATGATTACTCATTTGGCCGATGTAATGATAGCAGCAAAGGATGTTGCTGTTTTCTTTAAACAAAAAGAAAAAAAAAGGATGTTGCTGTTATCAAAAATAAAATAAGCGTCTAATATGAAATAAGCTTTTGCTCAGATGCTTAGATGTGTGCTTTATTTGTTTGAAAAATAACATCATTAGTTTGAATATTTATGTCGAAGATCTAGGCGGAATACGTAATGTGTCATACAACTTTTATCTTTTTCTTAAACACTGATAGTTCTATTAAAAACATGAAACGGATTACAATAGCCCGACGATGAATAACCCCATGGCCTGATTGGTTACAACGCAGCGATTGCAGTTGCGATTGCTAGTGTTTGTGGATGCGGGAGATTGCAGTTTTAAGCGTTAGTAAGATATTTATACGACTAGTTCCATGTTAAAAATTATTGTGTTTGCAGGATACTTATGACTGGTTTATCATCAAATACAACAGCGGTTAAATAATAAATTAACAATATTTATATTTTTATATAATTATCAAAATATTAAAATCATATTTTCATGATAAATATAAAAATTTTATTGAAAAAACTGCGCTATTAAATATTTAAAATATTAAACAAAATATTTTTTTGAAAATTTTATAATATAAATATTTCAGTATTTCAATTATTTTAATTTAAAATTGTAATTGAATATTTTATTTTTATATTTAGATAGTTTAAAAAAAAAAAAATTATCCTCCCGCAATCGCCCGCAACCACAAACGCTAACTGGAACCAACTTTTGAATTTTAGAGATTCAGAGCGATTTGAAGCGGTTTATAGCGTTTTTTATGATTGTTGCAAAACGCCAACAACCGTTACCAACCGCAAAAGCTGCGTTTGCGGATGATGGTATGAGAACCAGTCAGACCCCCAATCATTATTTTAATAACTAAAAGCAATGAAGAAACACACTTAAAAAACACCATGATATTAGGTCTCCAATAGTAGTCTCTTAATTGATCAAAACAGTATTTCAATCTCAAGAATCTACATCCCAACGGCAAGCCACCTAAACAAATAAGAACATGGAGTAATATACTTGGTGAGCATTGAATCAAAAGTAATCA